CTCTTTTCTTTTACTTTTATTTTACATTGAGGACAATGTTTGGTTTAAGTTTGGGGGAGAGAATAACTTTTAGGCATCCATTCTTACATTAGTTTGCATTCATATTTGCATGATATACATTTTTTTTCCAGAAATTAGGGATTTTTTTTTTTTTTAGGAGTGTGGTCTAATTAGTGTCAAGGAATTGAATATTCTTGAGTTGAAATTTCAAAAACTCCTAAAATCTTTAAATCTTAGATGAGATACATAATCTAAAAACAAAACCATTGTGATGAAGTTTAAGTTCATGAGTATTTTATTTCACTTGAGCACAAGTTTGTAGTGAGAAGTTTAGAGAGAAGACTTAGTAGCACATAAAAGAAAATAAGAAGAAGGAAAAGAATCCAACACACAAAAGAGTTTGTTAATTTCTATTCCAATGTTTCTAGTTGCTTAGTAACTAGAGGTTAAGCATGAGACCCATGTCAACTTCCACGTCAAACGGTAACTTGAAATATGAGTATGTAAAACACTCCGAGTTTATGACTTGTTGAGTAATTGGGTGCATTCATCACAAATGTTAGTATTCACATCCAAAGACAAGTGATAGCTTTGGGAAGAATGTGTTGTATGGCTAAAAAAAAAAAAAAAAGAGAGGAAGAGAAGTTGAATGTTTTGTGGCCTTTGTTACTTGAGTAAGTATGCTCTTAGAGGTGTCTCTTCACCTAATGCCTTAAAGCCAACTGGTTTGGGAGTCATTGGCAGAAAGCTCATTACATGGGTAACTTAGAAAGCCTAAGGAAACTCACCATAGAAAAAAAAACAAAAAGAGAGAAAAAAAAAGAGAAAAAAAAATAATAAGTGCTAAGGTGTGAAGGGTTAAACTCGAGACTTCTTACTAGGAATTTTCACACACACACTAAGTGCTCATGAGCTAAATCTTTTGAGAAGTGGTGTGAAGAATAGGATGGAGTATTTGACTTTAAGTGAATGTATGAGAACTCTTGAATATTCGGGACTTTGTTTCTAATTGAACTTTAATTCCTAAATTTTCTTTGCATTCATATTATGTAGTTGCATTCTTACATTGGGATTTTGTAAACCCTCACGAGACATAACTCGTCTACTAGGATGACCTAAGGGTTTAAAGGCTTGTTGCACATAACATGTCAAAGTTCTCTCATCATCAGAGCTGTAATATTGTACTTCTTCAGCTTCACCTACTAATAGGTTCACAAGCATTTGCATAAATTCGCCAAGTTCATTTTTAGGAAAGAAAGTATCCCCTTAATCAACCACTCAATCCACTTAAGGTGGATGGTTTCTTGTAAAAATTCTCACCATAGCTAGTTGTAAATTGTTAAGCTATGTGGCTGTTTTGTCAATTTCCCAAAGACAATGCCAACTATTTGGGTAGCTTCAAAAGCTCTAGTATTATTGAGTTCTTGAACTGCTCTGATACTTAAAAATCACGAGGAAGTGTTCTTGGAAAAAACACTCCAACGCTTAAGTTAGCAATATTTAGTTATTCTAGAGAGAAAAGTTCTCAAAACTAAATACTATAGAGAGAGAAGCATAGTGGAGTTATTCTCTTCAAAGAGAAGGGTATTTATAGCCCTCATTTATGATACCAGCACCACATGTCATTGTCCAATTGGCCCACAAATTGTTGGTCATGTAGGTATGTCTCCACTGCTTATGTTTGCCTTTAGGCTTTTATTGGGCCTTTAACCAATGTTGGGCCAACTCCCCAATAGCAAGCATTGTAACTATAACATTACCAAAAACCAAATTGACTTTTACATTCTTTGAACTATATAACTGCTTTCCTTCTTTGCTAAGTCTTCAAATAACCATTGTCTTTCCTTGTCATGAAGGAAATATTTACAAGAAGACAGCTGATGAATCTGTACAATAACAACACATGCATGTTTAAGAGAGTAGGTTAGAAAGACATTAGAGTTGCCATTGCATTCTGGAATATTGAGGCAAAAGCTTGAGAATGTGTAGAAACATATAGTAAAAAGATAGATGCTAATCTTTGGGTACTTAAACTGGCAAAACTTGATTTTCAATTTAGTCTAGGTAACACTCCAAAGTGACCTTCAAAACAAGTTAATGTAAGACAGAAGTCACAGAAGTTGAGAAAAGATCTTCAACTTTCTCTTTTTTGGATTTTAGAAATTGTTTAACTCTCATTTATGGCTGGCTAGTAAGTTGAATTTTGCAAGGGATAGGCTCATAGAATACTTCTTTTGGATGGCTTGGGTTGGTCCCTCTACCTTAATTCAATAAATGTCGAAAATAACTAAAATGACTACACTCATAACCACCATCAATGATGTCTTTGACGTTTATGGCACTTTGGATGAATTAGAGATGTTCACAGTTATTGTTCATAGGTTTAAAATATGTTAATTTTGCAAGGGGTGTGATGTTTATTCTTATTAACACCAAAAAGTGGTTGACAAGATTTCAACACGGGAAACTGAAAAGGAATGCCAACAGACACTTTGTGAAATAGAGAAATGTGAGAGCTTAGCTAGAGACCTTAGTTGGTCCTTGGCTTGAGACTTCCACACTCAACATTAATAGAGGATTCATGAGGAAATAGAGTGTGTGTGTGTGGAGAGGATAAGATGTGTCTAAACTGGAAGGTGAGTGAGTGTATCAATGAGTGGAAGAGACATCTGATTGCTACCTTTATCTAGTCCCCCTTAAGTCACATTTAGGTTCCCAATCCTCCAATGAGACTGTGCCACTTGTCCATTCTAGAATATGCATCAAGTAAGGCGATTACTAGGGACATTCTAGAAGATTCCTAGGCCTAGGCTAGGTTCCTACAAGCTTGGCTTATTCATCTCTTTCAAGTCATATTTTGGTTATAACACTTGCCCCCCCAACAAATAGTTTGGATTACATTGTGTAGATGAATACATCAGAGCTGATGTACAAATAGTTTGGATATAACATGCACTGATAGATAAATTAGATGATTGCAATTTCTACAAATCGCTTCATAAGTAAGAACTTGTAGATTTTAAAGACTTGTTACATTGTGTATACATTAGAGTTGATGAATGAACTACTGCTAGGAAATCTATAGATATCACAAAGCCTTCTAATAACATTAAAGGAAGTAAGAAGCAAGAAGCAAGAAGCAGAAGTATGACAAGGTGAGAAGAATGTTTGATTTTCGAAAAGGAAAGAAAAGGACAGAACCTACTAAGACACTCAGCTGTTCAAAAAAAAAAAATATTAAGACACTAATCTTTAGAAACAAGAATCCTTAACAGGGTATGCTACTTACACTCCCTTAAATGCTTCTTTAACTAATGTTTTAGCTGTGGCGAAACAGACAAAGAGAATTCATTAGCCTAAAAAGCTAAGAAGCAATGGGAACAAGAGAGACCAAATTAGGAATTACCCTTCAACATTTAGAGAGACTTAGGCAACAAAGAATACAAGTTGATTTGTCTAAATAGGACTCCTATCTCAAACACTTGGAATGCTACTCATCTCAAAAAGTGTTATCATTAATCATACAATTAGTCATCTCTCCTTCCTAGGTGACTGATAATTAGTATTTAAATAAGTGATGTTTTATCTTATTATCCTACCTATAGATAGTCTGTGTATGGATTTTGCAAACTTTTTATGTAATTATATATGTATGAACATGATATGTCTGTGAATGCCAAAGTGAGAAATTGAATGGCAAATATTTGCATTTGGCAATTGTTACAAACAATTTCTAAACACTTTGTACTGTTTATTGAATGTCATTTCAAGTAAAAGATGAAATCTTAAGGGTAAAACTCTAGAGAAAATTCAATTGTATACAATTGAAGGAACTCCTAGGAGAAAGGATAGCTATACTCTTAGTTAGGCAAAGCTATCTTGAATGGCTCTCCACCATAAGAGTTGATTCCCTTGAACTAATTTTTATATATTGGTAGGAAAGGAAGGTGGTAAGGTTTCCTAATTAATGGGTAAAGGAGGAAATAGAAGCCGAGAAACTAGGAAATGAAAGCTAATGAAAACGAGATGCAAATATGGACACAAAAGTAAGACCATATAAGGGCATATGGTGATAGCCCGCAAATAGTTTGTTCTTAAAAAAGGAGAAGAAGAAAAAAAAAAAACCTTGTTGGAGAGCTAAAAAAAG